GACGTGGCCTTTGTTCCTTCTCTTTCTTTACAGGTTTTGAAGGTGGAGTTTCTTTTGGACTAAACAATAGAGGAAGAGAAGAAAAAGACCATAATTCCTTAAAAAATAAGCAAATAAAACTTCTCAAAGCTTTTAAAGTCTGGCTATTAAAACATTATGTAAAGGTTCTACTTTTAAGGGATAAAATTCTATAACATAACATAAGGATATGGAGTTTATCACAGTCAAAGATTCTTGGATTTTGGAAAAAGATATCCATAGTATATAAAATAAAGAGTTAAAAACTTGGGATATTACTTTTAGGTCCTTTAACAAAGTCTTTAATGTTCTTCCTAAGATTCTATTTGAATTTTTACTGAAATGAAATAAAATGCAGAAAGTAGGCACCTTAAATTCCCAAAGTACCACTACAACTTCTGGAGTCACCAAACCTACTCTATATATTTTAACCAGCAACCAGCAAAGATTTAACAAAAGAATGAAAAGCTCAACAATGCAACATTACCATGTTATTAAATATGTGGGCAGAACTTGGAAAAGGAAATAGTATTTTACAATGTTCAGTAAGAATTACAGTTAAGTTGAACATCAAAATTAGTGAATATATTGACCTATTCTATTGGCTTGGAAGCAAAACACAAACCTACCTGGCTAGCCAAAATGGATAAATAATTCTCAAACTAAAAATCTAAGGAGAAAGAGTCTAAGAAAATACTTTGGAATCATTAAAGCAGTTAGTAGCAGGCTTCTCATAATAATCAACAAAATAGTCAGTAGGGAGATGGAAGAGAAAAGGATGTCTTTTCTGGAATAGATTACAAAAATCAGTGTTCAGATACAATTTTTTAACCATCCAATTTATTTGAGTAAAGAAAATACTTTGTGCTATACATGTCCTTAGGAAAAATAATACAACATACTAAATCGTGCCTACAAATAAAACCATGTTAGATAGTAAGTCATTTCTAGTCCATCACAGTATCAGAAGGTTGAAAACAAGCTGAGAATCCTAACCACAGTAGGAGCCTCCTCTACTTTTTTGACAAGTAGTTAGAAAATGTATTCTTTCATGAACACTTCCATAGAACCATAAAGAACAAATTTATCCCTTCAATGTGTCTTTTTAAACACTGCATGTGAGGGGTGTCTGGGTGGCTCAGTCGGTTAAGCATCCAACTTCGGCTCAGGTCATGATCTCACAGTTCATGGGTTCAAGTCCCACATCGAGCTCTGAGCTGGTGGCTAGCTCAGAGCCTGGAGCCTGCTTTGGATTCTGTCTCTCCCTCTCTCTCTGCCTCTGCTAGTCACACTGGCCCCCCCTCAAAAATAAATAAAACATTTAAAAAAACGTTTAAACACTGTGTGTGAAAAACAATCTCAAAAGTACAACTTCCTACCAGTTTTTACCAGTTCAATCTCTTGTAAATCATGTAGAATAAAATCTAGATTAGTCTGGTGTGTATCAACTAGAACTAGGGTAGTTGATGGACTACCCAACCAAAATGATCATCTGAAACTTTCTGTTAAATTACTGATAGAGACAAACACACATTATTATAATTTGCAGTAAGATTTTTCCACCCTGGGAACAAAGCCTATTACCAGAAAACTCTTCAGGTAGACACAATAAAGATTTTTCTAAATTTCCCCTATTTTTAAGATATTCATAAAATGAAAATTCCTAATTTTCCAACTACTATCAACTTTCCAACTACTGTCCAACTACTCTTTACAAATTTTAATTCATGATGCACAAATAGATTACCTCTTGGTTTTGTTCCACTAGAACTTAAGGACCTCAATTTTGTCACCATCACTTCATGTAAGTTCAATCCATTTTTTTAAAGTATTTTTTTTAAAGTTTTATTTCGTTTTTTGGTGGGGAGACAGAAGAATGTGAGTAGGGGAGAAGCAGATAGGCAGAAAGAGAGAATCCCAAGCAGAGATTCTGTGCTGACAGTGCAAAGTCCAATGAGGGGCTGGAACCCACAAACTGTGAGATCATGACCTGAGACACTTAACCGTCTGAGCCACCCAGATACCCCTTAGTATATGCTTTATATTTAGCTCTTGTTTTCTCCAAGGTTTACTTTACAGGTTCACATTCAGTTTACTATGGTGAAAATGTGCATTGCTTCTGAAAAATTGCATATTTAGCATGTTTATTTCATCAAGTATGAGTGTTCAATATGTATTACCAGTTCAGGGCACACGAGTTGAATACAGGTCAAATCCTATTTCAAAAAAAAATTCAATACACCAAAAATCTTGAAATAATGATGACTCATAAAATTGTAGTGTTTAAAGGGAGCCTGGGTAGCTCAGTTGATTAAAGTCTGACTTCAGCTTAGGTCATGATCTCCCAGTTCATGAATTCAAGCCCCATATGAGGCTCTCAGCTGTCAGTGCAGAGCCCGCTTTAGATCCTGTCTCCTTCTCTCTCTGCCCCACCCCCAAAATAAACATTAAAAACAAACTGCAGTGCTTAACATTATGGCCTTTAGCGTACAGCATAGGGCACTCAGTAAAACATAGCTCTATACAGTGCAGAGGACATACAGTAGACAGAGTCTAACACTGGAGAACAGACATTGAATATGTGACTCACTACTGTGAAGATTCAGTACCAGGAAGTGCTGGCCTATCTTATCAATCAATATCAGTATTTCCTGGCTCTCCAATTAAGTCTGTAGTTGGGTTCATGCTTGGTGAGTAGTTGCATAAATGCTCATGTATAATAATTTTCCTTCAAAAAAGGTTGCCAAGTAGAGCCTGGGCGGCTCAGTCAGTTAAGCATCTGACTCTTGATTTCAGCTCAGCTCAGTTCATGAAACTGAGCCTGCATCAGGCTCTGAGCTGAAGGTGCAGAGCCTGCTTGGGATTCTCTCTCCCTCTCTTTCTGTCCCTCCCCTACTCTCTTTCAAAATAAATAAAAACATTTTTTAAAAACCAAGCTCCAGGGGTGCCTGGGTGGCTCGGGTTATGATTTCACAGTTCTTGAGTTCAAAACCCACTCTGTACGGTCAGTGCAGAGCCTATTTCAGATTCTCTCTCCCGTTCTATGCCCTTCCTCCACTCTCTCTCTCAAAAATAAACATTAAAAAAAAAAGTTGCCAAGCTCCAAATTAAAATCTGTATAGTCTCTTAGAATTTATGATGATGGGATTTAATCTGTGGTACAACATCAATACCACTAACAAGAAGTCTTTATTGTTAATAACGAATATGAATTTACTATCAATGATTCAAAAAGAATAATTTCTTAGTAGGTATTTTCCACAACTTAATAGCATAAATGACTTTAAATAAATATGATCATTTATCCTTTTTCCCTTAAAGTGGGTTGTTTAAAAAGTGATTTACAGGGGTGCCTGGGTGGCTCAGTTGGTTAAGTGTCCGACTTCGGCTAAGGTCATGATCTCGTGGTCCATGGGTTCGAGCCCCGCGTCAGGCTCTGTGCTGACTGCTAGCTCAGAGCCTGGAGCCTGTTTCAGATTCTGTGTCTCTCTCTCTTTCTGACCCTCCCCTGCTCATGCGGTCTCTTTCTCAGAAATAAATAAAACATTTAAAAAAATGAAAAACACTTAAAAAAGTGATTTACATTTATAAATTTCTACTAAAAATTTGGGATCAAATACATTAAAAATGAGAACCAAGCATTCCATTAGCAAAATTCTAAATCAAATTTGGATGCTCATACAGATTGTTTCTTTACGCTAAGAGCTCAATACTTTAAAGGTAAAACCTTTAAGAATAATGTAGACTTGGGGTGCCTGGTGGCTCAGTTGGTTAAGCGTCCGACTTCAGCTCAGGTCATGATTTCACAGTTCGTGGGTTCGAGCCTCGCATTGGGTGTGCTGAGAGCTAGCTCAGAGCCTGGAGCCTGCTTCAGATTCTGTATCTCCCTCTCTCTGACCCTCCTCTGCTCACGCTGTATGTCTCTCTCTCTCTCAGAAATAAAACATTAAAAAAAATTTTTTTTAAAGAATAATGTAGACTCTACTAAAAGTCTGATAAACTCCACATGAACCAGGACCAGCAAAAAATTCTATCAGAAATGAAGATTTGATTTTATTACTATTATTATTTTTTTAGTAAGCCCTATGCCCAATGTGGGGCTTGAACTCACAACCATGAGACTGAGACTCACATGCTCTATTGACTGAGGCAGTCATGTGCCTCACTTAACTGAAATTAAAAAAAAAAAAGTACACAGATGATCTCCTTAAAAGCAGATGATCCCTATGAATAACTATGTTCAGAAGAATGCACTACATCATCAAGAATGGGTGTTTAGTAGCCTTCATTTCTTGAAATAAAGAATTGCAGACCATTTACAAAGACTTCTGCAATACCATTAGTCAAAGTCACTCTTGCATTTGATATCTAGGTTAATACACTCCTGGCCCAATGTATGTTTTAAAGAAAAGTTTCATTCTATTCCTAAAGGAACTTTAAAAGAAGACAAATACTCTGATATAAGCTTTATATCATCCATGCGCCAAATGAATTAACTACATGCCCAGTGCCATTTCACAAGCCCTAACCCTGGCTCCTTCAGTAGTTGTACTTACTCATTCAAATAAGCAGTATTTACTGACTGCAATTTGTATTCTATGTTTAAAGCACTGTGGGCAATGGAAAGATGTATAAATCACATTCTCAACAATTAAGTTGCTACAATCTCATGTGAGAAGATCAAGAAGAAAATAAATGAATTCATAAATTCTGTATGCAACTTTCAGATTTCTTCCTGAAAAGTTTTCTTACATAAAAGTTATTTTTCATGTGAACGTTGGTATAGCTGTTTATGGTACATAAAAACAGTACCAAAAAAAATTTTTTTAAGACAAAACCACCTTGAATCTAAAATTAATACATAGTGGAAAAAAAATCAACAGTGGAAGATATCTTCATTTCCATTTTCCTACCTTCAATAATTTATTTACATTTATGAGGAAAACTATTAATAATCATACACTTAAAAATAATTAACATTGGTGCTCGCTTTGGCAGTACATATACTAAAACTGGAATAATACAGAGAAGATGAGCATGGCTCCCGTGCAAGTATGACAGGCAAATTCATGAAGCATTCCAAATTTTTAAAATACTAAAAATTTGTAGATAAGGTACAAATGCTCCTTTACTTTTGGTCCTCATCCTAAGTCCCATCCACAGAGGTAACCATTCTTATCAGCTTAGTGTGTTTCTTTTCTGGATTTTTTTGGTATGAATTTATGTGGATATATATGGATATATGTATCCATAGAAAACAGATATTTTGTGTTTATTGTATATGGGTGTTTACATAAATATCAGACTATTATAAAGTTAATTACATTGGACTATGAAATAAAATAGTTATACTTTCAGAATCAGAATTTATACATATCAAAAAATAGTTTTGTTCACTTCATTCTCTTTCAAACACATTCTTTTTTTTTAATTTATGGTATTTATTTTGAGAGAGAAAGCACAAGTCAGGGAAGAACAGAGAGTAGGGGAAAGAGAGAGAATCCCAAGCAGGCTCCACACTAATAGTGTGGAGCTCCACATGGGGCTTGAACGCACCAACGGGGCTTGAACCCACCAATCATGAGATCATGACCTGACCCAAAGTCAGACGCTTAAATGACTGAGCCACCCAGGTACCCCAAAAACACATTCTTAAAGATAGCTACACATACTCAAGTAAGCACTAGATGTCTTACTTTACCTTTCCTCTCCAATCTGAAAGACAGAAATCCTTATGTGTCTCCTATTAAAATTACTCCACCTCTGGTAATCTGCACTCTACACATTCACTGCATTGACACATGGTAGGTGAATTCAATAATCACTTGGTTAGCCAAATAAATATTTCAAAATGAAGATTCTCAGCCACACCAATTCTGTTCTAGCCACAATGTAAACTAATATTTGCACACGGTTCTTGTAGGTAGATCATGGCCTAGAATCCCATTGGAGAACGCTCAACTACTTCCTTCTATTTCCTTTTCCAACAAAAACCATAAAAACACATAGTTTGTATCTACAAGATGTATATCATGTGTCTAAACAGATTTTTTTGTTTTTTTTTGTTTTTTTTACAAAATTTCAGGTTTTATTCTTCTCCTTTGCAGTTCTCAGGATACAGCAGAATTCATAAATAATTACTAATATTAGAAAGAACATGTGAATTCTTCCTTAAAATCAGAGTTACCACTATGAATAGTAATGGAGCTATTCTTTTAAATTTCTAAATTGCATTTGCACCATCATATAAGGCACAGAACATAGTCTGGAAAAATACAGATGTAAAGGGCTGAAATGTATCATCATTTAAATTACTAATGTCACTTGGAAAATAATTGAGGCTTGGGAATTAGTCTGGAATGCAAGATCAGTAGTACTTACTTTATGCTTACAATGAAAAGTTTGTTGCAATAAATGAAACTCATATCCTAGAGAACAAGAAGGTAGGATCTCCTTTGAAAAAACCAGTAACAGACTGCCACAGCATATGTCACTGCTAAATCATATGTGTTTGGTGGTAGCTGCCTAGCTAGTCTTGCCAAGATAAAGAATAAATATATTTCCTAATGCTTTCCATAAAATCAGTTTCATGTTTCATAATCATTTAACTTCTCAACATCCAGAGAATTCATTAATTAGAGCTCCTCCGGGCTGCCTGGGTGGCTCAGTTGGTTGAGCATCCTCTGACTCTTGATTACTGCTCAGGTCATGCTATCACACAGTTCGTGGGATCGAACCCTATATTGGGCTCTGCAATGACAGCATGTATCCTGCTTGGGATTCTCTCTCCCTCTCTGTCTGCCCTTTACCCCCTCAAAATAAACAAACAAACAAACTTAAAAACAAGTTAAAAAAATTAGAGCTCTTCCTATCATCCCATTGGTATTCTAATTAGTAAAGATTCTACACATTGTTCTTTAGTTTCTTATAATTTTTTAAATGTTTTATTTAAATTTTTTTGAGAGAGAAAAACAGAGCACGAGCAGGGGAGGGGCAAAGGCAAAAGGGAGACACAAAATCCAAAGCAGGATCCAGGCTCCAAGCTGTCAGCACAGAGCCTGATGTGGAGCTTGAACTCACAAACCAGGAGATCATGACTCGAGCCGAAGTCGGACACCTAACCGACTGAGCCACCCAGGTGCATGCGTGCGTGCGTGTATGTTTTTTTTATATACATCTTACTGTTAGGAGAGATACACTAAAATACTCAGAAGTAAAGTATCATATCTAAAGCAAATGTGGTAGAAAATAACCGATCTATCCTGAAGAGAATACAGAAGTTCATTGTATTATTCTTTCAATTTTTCTACAGCTATTAAAAATTTCAACATAGGGGTTCCTGGCCAGCTCGGTTGGTACAGCACGCAACTCTTGCTCTCAGGGCTGTGAACTCAAGTTTACGGATTACTTAAAAAAATTTTTTTTGTTAATCTAAAAGAAAAAGAAAAAATCAGTCAGTTAAGCATCTGACTTCGACTCAGGTCATGATTTCATGGTTCATGAGTTTGAGCCCCACCATCAGGCTCTGTGCTGGCAACTCAGAGCCTGAAGCCTGTTTTGGATCCTGTGTCTCCCTCTCTCTCTGTTGTCCCCTGCTCATATTCTGTCTCTCTCAAAAATAAACATTAAAAAAAAATTTTTTTTAATTAGGGAGAAAAACGCTGTTGATTTTTAAAAATTTGAACCAAACACAATGCTTATCAAATAAGCTTGTGAATAAAAAGGGTTACTAGGGGCTCAAACTGTAATTTTCTCCTCCTCACTGTTATAAATAAGAACTTTTCCACTAAAAAAATCAAAGGCATTTCCTATACATAAAAAGCATTCTAAACAGCCATATAATAGAGCAGTCTTGACAGTTTGAGAAGACAGAATACATTACACTTAGATTGAGAAGGTAAAGTTTTCCCAGTTAATTATGGGACTTACCTATCCATGTCATCGTCTCCTGGTAATAAGGGCGGGAGGGGCAGAGGAGGCAATGTTGAAGTTTTGAGGTGTGGAATAGCAGCTGTTACAGTTACTGGAGTCTTCACAGAAACCTGTACAGGGGGCTGAGAATTTGCCTGAGAGGACAGAGTAGATGTCCTTGGGTGAGTAGAAGGGGGCAAAGTTGAAGTACTAGAAGCAAGAACCTGACTAAACGCTGGTTGGGGAGGAGGCAGAGGTGGTTGCTGTGGAATAGCTGGTAGTGGAGGCAAAGGTGGCAAAGGGGGTGTCTGAGGTGGAGGGGTGGTAGTTGGTAAAGGAGGTGGAGGAGAAGTAACTGTGGGGAGAGGTGGATGGGTCTCCTTTTCTGATATCTCTGTCTCTTTTGGAGTAGCAATCTCCTCTTTCAATGCTATGGGTTTAGAGTCTCTTGATCCCTGTGCTTTCAAATCTTTAAGAATAGGATGCTTCTCAGAGTTCTCATCCAACTTTACTTTCCCTGTGTCTAAAGAATTTTTGACTTCTGTATTGAGATGTGTTACATTCACCAGTTCAGTATCTGGGGCAGATTTTTCCAATTTTACACCTCTGGGTAACTTTTTAGACTCCAAGCCTGAATCCTTAGCCTCTACTAAACTGTTCTCTTTTCTAGGCAAAAATATAGGTGAACCCTTGGACTCCTTTCCATCCATTTTTGCTGCAGCAGCAGCTGCTGCTCTTTCCTTCTTTTTCCTACTGAGTTCAGCTCCCAAGCTGGAGTTCAATGGAAGCCTGACAGGTGAGATGCTGGAATGTCGACTGCGTGACCCAGATCGCTTCTTTTTACTATGAGAAGATGAGTGTCTTGAATATGCAGGACTTCTACTTCTAGACTTCATGGATTTCCTACTGGGAAAAGAAAACGGCAATTTAAAATGGATAGCCTACGACAATATGGAGGAAATACATCAGTTAAACTATGGAGCAATGTAGGGAGAGTCATTTTCAAATGCCCCTTCTCTGTAAAGAGAGCTTCCGTATTATTTTTACTTTCTAATCTTATACTCTAATAAACTTTTGCTTCCTGCTCATTTAAAACAATAACAACTATGGAACACTGTAACTTAAAGAACCCACTTTGAATAATTTAGCAATATTAAAAATAAATTAGGTACCATCAAATAATAATGTATCAATATTGGTTCATTAACTGACAAACGTAAAATACTAATGCAAAATGTTAATCATAGGGGAAACTGGGTGCAAGGACATATAAGAGTTCTTTGTACTGGGGCGCTTGGGTGGCTCAGTCAGTTTGGTAGCCAACTTTGATTTTGTTTTGGATCATGATCTCATGGTTCACGGGTTTGAGCCCCACACTGGGGTCTAGGCTGACAGTGGGGAGCCTGTTTGGGATTCTACGTCTCTCTACCCCTCCCCCACACTCAAAATAAATAACTAAACAAAAGAAATCTTTGTATTGTACTCGATACTTTTTGTAAATCTAAAACTGGTCTAAAATATAAAGTTTATTTAAAAAAATCGACTACAAGGAACTAAATCCTGCATGACAACATATTTCAATCACATAACAATAAAATTACCCATTACTAGGGGCCCCTGGGTGGCTCAGTCGATTAAGCGTCCGACTTCAGCTCAGGTCATGATTTCACGGTCCGTGGGTTCGAGCCCCGCGTCGGGCTCTGTGCTGACAGCCAGCTCAGAGCCTGGAGCCTACTTTCGATTCAGTATCTCCCTCTCTCTCTGACTCTCCCCTGCTCAAGCTGTGTCTCTCTCCCTCTCAAAAATAAATAAAACAAATAATAAATAAATATAAATAAAATATATATAAATAAATAAAATTTAAAAAATAAAAATAAATAAAATAAATAAATTAAAAATTTTAATTTTTTTAATGTTTTATTTATTTCTGAGAGAGAGAGACACACAGCTTGAGCAGGGGAGAGTCAGAGAGAGAGGGAGATACTGAATCGAAAGTAGGCTCCAGGCTCTGAGCTGGCTGTCAGCACAGAGCCCGACGCGGGGCTCGAACCCATGGACCGTGAAATCATGACCTGAGCTGAAGTCGGACGCTTAATCGACTGAGCCACCCAGGCGCCCCTAAAAAAAATTTTTTTTAATTACCTATTACTTATCCACCTGAAGGAAGATGGGTGAATA